TTTGACAAAATGTAAAAAAATTGCCCAAACTCGCATATTGATTGCAAAAGTTTTTCAAGTTGAGTAAAATGTGTTTGATATAAACCGTGAATAGTAGTCCATGGATTTAATAATAAGATTTTCAGCATGATAATCGGTATCATTCCCAATTAATATCTTTCGAACAGTTTTTGAGGCATAAATGTAGACGAAAAGTTTTGTCACTTTTTTCCAAATTACAAAGAAACGGCTCGACTGATCGTCGCACAAAAACGATAATTCTTATCGAGATACATTAAATGGTTTTTAAATTTCTGAAATCGGTTCAGATGTTTTTGAGCAAACGTCGATGAAAGTTCTAATTTTGACAAATGCCTAAAAGACCATACTAATTTTTACAAACTTTGACGAATTTTTAAAGCTAAACGAGTTGTCGTAGGGCCGTAATATTTAGTATGATCTAGAACACTATGGTATCTACCGCCAAATAAATAATAATTAAATCGACGGAAAAAAAATGTTTGACACCTTATTACAAGAAAACGGCCCGGCCGATCTCTGCCAAAACTAATCAGCACGATTCCCAATCAATATCTTTCGAACGGTTTTTGAATTTTCAAAATCAATTCAGAATTGGGGGCTAAAACGTAGACGAAATTTTTTTCACTTTTCTGTGGTTGTCGCACAAAACTGACAAACGAGAGTCCTCATCGAGATACATCGAATGGCTTTTAAATTTTTAAAGTCGGTCCAGCCCTTTTTGAGAAAACGTCGATTTACGGCAAAAAATCTGTTCACACACACACACACACACACATACTTTTTTCAAATTTGCTCTCATCCGATTTGGAATGGCTTGAAACGTCGAGAAAACATAATTTAGCGAATCGAATTTTAACGTAATCGTAAACATATAATGAGTATGATACAAAAAATATCAAAATTAAATACAACTAACTAACAGCATATTAAAAATAAAAAATAATACATCCAAACTTTTGAGTAACAGTTTGAGTCTCCTCAGTGTATACTAGATACAATGAGCCAAATATTTGACTAACAGACATCTATGTAAAAAAAAATTACATATGGAAATGAAAAATTATATTTTACATATATACATATATGCGTATGTACAATGCATTTATTATTTATATACATTTAAATATGAAATACTTTTATGTGTTAGTATTATACATTTCCGGAACTATAATTTTCTAAATCGGCGTAAGAGTTCTAAATAATTTATGACTTCTGGCCGCAAAAGAGCGTATCATGCATCAAATAAATTATGTATGTACTTTATTTCGCATAAGCACATTAATCTTAGCCAAGGATTTGCATGGGCTAATACACCAGTATTATTCAACGAATTAGAGTCTGTACCATTTAGCAGCCACCGAGTGGATTTTGCACGGAAAGTAGCGCCCAGGAATTAGGTTCGTATAATATAAGAATAATTTTAAATGTTTGCACTTAAAGATGACGCTTGGCGTTGCTCTGAATAAAAATTAAGACATTTTATTTACATTAGAAGGAGTCTGGGGATTAAATCTTTGCTTAAATGTAAACAAACCGCTTTAATTTTAAATCAAAATGATTAAAATTGCAAATCTGGAAATAAGCATGAATTATCTCAAATTTAATTCATTATTAAAAATGTCCCAAATCCACTATTTGTTACTAAAGAATGAAATATCGAATTCAAACTCGTTTTATTCAAAATATTTCTATCTGATAGTGTGCAACTGTTGGCATAAAATTGTAGTAATTTTTTTTATCTAGTGTCTGCTACGCTAACTAAAAAATAGTGCCCCCATACAAAGTTTCTGAGTAATTTGACAAAAACTAAAACTAGTTGGTTTGGTATTTAGCCTTGAGACAAGTTACATGAACTTCCCGATATGTGTAAATAATCGACTTAATCAAAAAAAAGTGTAAATAATTTATTTCATCAATCCTACTTTAAAAAAAAAAACGATAATAATGTTAGCTAAGTTTGACGAATTTTTAAAATTAAACTACTTGTTGTAAGGCCGTAATATTACAGTAAGCAAAGCCAAAAAAAGTTCCATGAAAATCGGCTTAAATTTTTTTTCAACAGTTCATTACAAGAAAACGGCTCGGTAGATTTGTACCTAAAATTAATCAGTACCATTCCCGACTAATATCTTTCGAACAGTTTTTGATTTTTCAAAATCGGTTTGGTAGGATGAGCTTAAATGTGGACGAAAATTTTAACACTTTTATTCAACAGTTAATTACAAGAAAACGGCTCGGTAGATTCTCACCTAAAATTAATCAGCACCATTCCCAACTAATATCTTTCGAAGAGTTTTTGATTTTTTAAAATCGGTTCGGTAGGATGAGCTTAAATTTGGACGAAAAGTTTAACACTTTTTTCAAATTGCAAAGAAACGGCTTGGCAGATCGTCGCACAAAATTGACAAATGATAGTCCTCACCGAAATACATCAAATGGCTTTTAAATTTCTAAAATCGGTTCAGGCGTTTTTGAGAAAACGTCGATCAAAAGTCTAGTTTTGACAAATGCCAAAAAACAATACCAATTTTTGCAAATTTTGACGAATTTTTAAAGCTGAACCAGTTGTCGTAGGGCCGTAATATTTTAGTATGATCTAGAAGACTATGGTATCTACCGTCAAAATAATCATAAAAATCGTCGATTTTTTTTTAAAAACTTTATTACAAGAAAACGGCCCGGCCGATCTCTACCAAAAACTAATCAGCACGATTCCCAACCAATGTCTTTCGAACGGTTTTTGAATTTTCAAAATCGATTCAGAATTGCGGGCTAAAACGTAGACGAAAATTTTCTCACTTTTCTGCGATTTATAAAGAAACGGCTTGGCCGATCGTCGCACAAAACTGACGACAATAGTTCTCGTCAAGATATATCAAATGGCTTTTAAATTTTTGAAATCGGCCCAGCCGTTTTCGAGAAAACCTCGATTTACGGCAAAAAATCTGTTCACATACAAAACATAAAATTAGAGAATCGGATTTTTTTATGAAAACTTAAACTTCTCCTTCGGAAAGTTAAAAATGTCTCAAATCCACTATTTGTTACTAAAGAATGAAATATCGAATTCAAACTCGTTTTATTCAAAATATTTCTATCGGACAGTGTGCAACTGTCGGTATGGAATTGTAGTAAATTTTATCTAGTTTCTGCAACGCTAACTAAAAAAAATAGTGCCTCTGTTGGCATGGAATTACAGAAAATTTTATCTAGTTTCTGCTACGCTAACTAAAAAAGTTTCTGAATGATTTAACAAAAACTAAAAAAATGTCCTAAATCCCAAATATTCTATGACTTACCTGTCAAACCCGGTTGACATTACATTCGACACTAATTTAATAATAAGCAAGATTCAAACTAAAAATCAACAGGTGATAACTCTAAAAAAAGGAATAGATGGAGCCATTAATTTATAAAATTTGTATCTTAATTTGAATTTTTAATTCTTTGAAATTGCCTAATAATTTTTCATGCAAAAATGAATAAAACGGTCAAAATAATGGATACACAAAGCACTGTAAATGAATAAAAAATTAGAATACTCAAACAAGTTAAATATTATAATATATATATTTTCTAGAAATTAGAGTCACAAAGTAGATGATCATTGAACATACATTAAGCAACATGAATATGCCAAATGTGAATAAAATATTTTATAGCAAAAGTCGAAGAGTATAAATGTTCATATATTTATAATTTGTTTATATAGAGGTAGTGATTTTATAGCCTACCTAATATTTTATTTTATATATAATATTATATGCATAATATATAAATGCAAAATTCTGCCAAGTATAAAAATTTCTCAATAAATAGTTCTTATCAAATGGATATGTACATATCTAAACTTATAATATAAAATAGTATTAAATACAACACATACAATAGGAAAGTTGTTTGAAAATGAAGTATAGTAATAATTCAGTCAATTTCAATTTGGAATTTTTTTCATTTTATTCTTATTGACAGTTAATAATTCTGAGGTTTTTTTCAAGATCAGAATGTGAATTTTGTGTAAAATTTAGCACTGATGTCTCATGTTCTTGTTAAACAACAGAACCAAAGAATGATCAAATTAATTTCACAATTTATAGGAAATTAATTGTAAAATATTAATTAATTTGAATGCATTAAAGCACGTATAATAAGCCACAATATTAATATATTTTCCATAATATGAAGATTGAATCAGTGAAATCAGGTCGAAGTATATAGATTTGAAAGGATCATATTTTTAATATAATTTCATCAAATTTTTGTAAATGTGTTAGAAATGGACGGTAAAGCTGGAATCTTTAAACTTAAAACTGTTATATGAAATTTAAATATGATATTGATAAATTTTGAATTGTGACAATTTTCCTATTGTATAACTTTCATCTTAACAAATAATTTTCACTTATTTAAGCTAGCACACTTAGAGCGTCCAGCAATGCACATCTCGATTATATCAATTCCTAGTAATATTATATTTGCACGCACATTTTGCTTATATCGATCTCTTAAATAAACTAATAATTCCAAAATCTAATAAACCTACTTAAATTTTCAGTACTGGTTTTGAAGATCCATCAAGACATTAAATATATGTAAATAAGTGAAATTGACAACCTTGGGGATGAGATCAAACCTATATTAGTACTTTGATCAAAGATCTATAACCTGAGATCAATTAACTTGGCTAATGAGAATATCGTCAATATTAGCCCGAAGATCTTTGACCAGAGCATTAAATTTTTATATAAATTTATTTTAGTTGAATGATAGTATGATAAAAGTGTTGATAAATTATTTTCATAAAAATTTAATTCACATCCAACCAAAACTTGTCAATGATTATGCGATCAGAGCATCGATTTTATTTATCTGAGAAAAAATAAACTAAAGATAAAAGTATCAACATATGTAAGTAATTTCAGACTTTTTTTTTAATTCATGAGATCCATACCGAGAATCGTCTTACAACAATTCCCTGCTTCTCCTTACTGGTTGTCAACTCTCTACATACATTTAAATCATTTTCCCTAAATCATTCTTAAATCTACCCCAATCTCAAATTCGTAGAATAATCACGATCAATAATTACTGTCCATTATGTCACTTCATTTAAATAATATTCCATATGCACATATATAATAACTCTTTGGTATGCAATGCAGCGAAGCTACTACTTGAATTTGCTATCTTTACTTTTATGGATTAACTTTCAACTTTTTCTATGGCATCAGTATTTTCTTCCAAAGGTTGAAACTCCTTGGCAAGGTACTCCTTGAAATATGCACATATTTTTGAGAAACTCGGCCTGTCATTGGGGCAGTAGGACCAACAATTTTTCTGAAAAAAAAAAAGAGAAATATAGTTTCGAAAACCACGTGGACATCTTTTAACAAATGGTGAAGATATTTACCAATATTTCTTTCAAGCAATCTGCCATATCTTCATGGAAGTCCTGCTTTAAGCTTTTACTTCTTAGCTGTTCTAAAACTTCTTCGTTTTTCAATTTGGAAAATGGAAGACTGGCACCTGTGAATATTTCCCAGACAACCCAAGCAAAGGAATAGACGTCCGACTTTGTCGAATAGTCATCCTCAAATACTGCCTCATGAGGCATCCACCGAAGTGGAATCATCTGAAGAAAATATAGATTGAAATATTACGAAATTTTTAAAACCCCGTTTAAATTAATAAATTAATTTCATGAGCAACAAATGAAAATATTATACAATTTTTATCATCTTTATTCACCTGGTTTGAATGTTCAACATATTCATCTTTGTAAATATCTTGGGAAGCTGCTGAATGTGAAATCTTTATACATAACTTACTGTCTATAACACAGTTTCGACAAGCCAAATCTCTGCAAAATATAATAATCATTATTAAATTTTATTCTATGAGTTTTGGCAAAATATCGCAACAGATGTTTCCCTTACTTGTGTACAAGACGAGATTTGGATATATATTCCATGCCTTTACATATTTGATGGCATAGGGATAATATTTGAGGAACCTGGAATTAAATAAAAATATAATTTAGTATGAAAAAAATGTGAAATATTATTTCTTTTAAATATAAATTGAGTAAATTCTCATAACACTTACTTGAAGAGGAGGAGGTTGAGAGCCTTCAGATTTTGCACCTTTTGTGGCTAAAAGGAATTGTTTGAAATCACCCTGAAAACAATAAAATTGTATTACTATATAATTGAAATTTGAAATTCATCGCATATACTCATATCATTAAAGTTCTCAGTAATTTGTAATATATTAGTTTACTATGAGATTATCGTCTTAACTTACCCAATCAGTGAATTCCAGTACCATTAAATGAGGATTAGTTTCCCTACATAAACCCAACAATTTAACAACTTGATCACATTGTATCTTATAATATAAATCTAGCTGCCTTTTAAACTCTGCTAAAGCATTTTCATCCTTTGTATTTGTTAAAGATTTCACAAGAACCATTTGTTTATTTGGTTTTTCAGTATCTGGTGCAATTTCAGGCGGTTTTATCGTCAACTGGGCGACCATAATGTCACCGAATTGACCAGCACCTATAATAAAGATTAATAGAATTATTTACATTCTTGGAAATCTAGGTCAAAAAAGGTATATTTTATATATTACTTACCGACTTTAAGATATTCGCTCAAAGCATCTCGGTTTAATGAAATTTTGTCGTAACAAGAAGATTTTTTGGACCCTTTTGAATTGGCGGAGCAATTTGAATTGGCAGTGTCAAATCCATCAGTTTTTACTTCTTTTGGCTTGTCACCGATTTCTTGAATATCATCTTCATTTTGATCTTCATCTCTGACGGTGTATTTGGCTTTTGAGCATTCTCCATTTAATTTGATCTCTTCTGTGTCGAATTCCATTTTATTCACTGAGGGAAAAATGAGATAATTGTAATAAAAAATAGAAATTAGACAAGACATTTCCAAAAATAGTTGCGTTAATTAGTACACATGTCTTATAAAATCTACATACATTGGGCTTTCCTATTCCTCCTGCATTTGCACCAGACGGTTAAAGCAACCACAAGCAGAATATAGGCGATGGCTATTGCCACAGTCACCACAACTGCCCTGGTGACACCTTCACCAGAAGAATCATGAAGCTGATGCTCATCATGAATAGATCGCACGATTAAAGAAATTTCCTCTCGGCGAAGTCCTCCACTATTTCCTGCTGTACAACCATACTGTTTCTGATCCTCTAGTTTCGCCTGGGTAAAAAAAATCAAGATGTAATTAAATGCAATATAAAAAATTTATATTGCATTTATTTCCTAAAATTTACCTCTTTAATAAGAAGTGTACCATTATCAAACACGACAAATCGATCGTTTTTCAAGACATCCATTTGTAAATTTTGGTCCCAATGGACGGTAGGTTTTGGAAGACCTGTAGCTTGGCAGTGAAGCATTATTTGAGCTCCTTCGACTACTTCAGTAGGATTGTTAGAAACTAAAGTGAACTTGGGAGATACTGAAAAAATAAATTTATTAATATGAATAATAATATTTCTTGAATTGCCGAATCATAGACATAACATTTACAGAAAAAAATTTCTTCATGCAGAATATATATCGTAGCAATACAATCATGCTTGTTTAATTTAGTATTCAAGGCAATATATAAGATTATGAAAAAGTTTCAAAATTGATGTCAATTTTTTAAATATTTATTGTAATTGATTTAGTTATTCACTCAAGAGTCTTATAAGAAATCAATTAAAATTCAATGAGATAAGTTGGACTACTTTCCTAATTATTATTAAGAAAATAGTAATTTGTTTGAGAGAATTATAGTATACATTAATAGCATTTAATAATAACTTATCATGATTTATATTTGATTTGCTACATTTTTTGCAAAATCTAAAATTTTGATTACGATTCCTATAAGAATTACGTTGGAATTTTTAATAATGGCACTTAATAATAATTTATCACATGATTTATATTTCATTTGCTATATTTTTCAGAATCTTGAATACGTTTCCTATAAGATTTACGTTGGAACCTTTAATAATAGCATTTAATAATAATTTATCACATAGTTTATATTATATTTGCTACATTTTTAATAAAATTTAAAACTTTGATTACGATTCCTATAAGATTTACGTTGGAATTTTTAATAATAGCATTTAATGAAAACTTATCACATGATTTATATTTGACTTGCTTTATTTTTTGCGAAATCCAAAATCTTGACTACGATTCCTATGAGATTTACGTTGGAACCTTTATTAATAGCATTTAATAATAACGTATCACATGATTTATATTTTATTTGCTACATATTTTGTTAAACCTAAAATCTTGACTACGATTCCTATAAGATTTACGTTATAACCTAATTTTTTTTGTTTTATTGTACACAGCAAACTATACACACAGTACATTCAGCTACTTTACAGGTATAGGAACCTAATATGAAAACCTAATATTTTTCAAAATATTTTTTTATAGTAAAATTTTTAATCTTACCTACGGCAGTAACGACAATAGTAACATTTATTGATCCTTGCAGGTTAAAAGCTCTACATGTATATCTTCCATTGTGACTTTGAGAAACACTTTTAAAAATTAATGTACCGTTTACATCTTCCACATCATCAGGTAAATCATTGTCCAGATCCTCCTGAAAAAAAATATAAAGAACTGTTGCTTAGCACTATAGAAAATTATTAAATAAATTCAAATATAGGGGGACGATCTCAAATTCGATGTCAAAAAATACTTTATTTATTAATTATAATCTTGTACCATTTTCCAAACAATTGTGGGTGGAGGTGTACCATTAGCCTTACAGTGTATCTTTCCCATGCTTCCAAGTTCTAAATTTTTATTAAGTGGTGCTGGAGAAAATTTTAATTTTTCTGAAACAAAAGCAATAAAGACATAAAATAATTATAAAAAATGTATATTTAAATAATAATGTAATTATTCACAATATGTCTGTTAATTACCTTTGATGTTCAAAGTGCCAGGAATGGAAGCAACTGGTAAAAATCCTTGAGTAATGACTTCACAAGTATACGATCCTTTATCTCGAGGAATTGTCTGAGTGAAAGTTAACGAACCATCAGATTCATTAAACATTATTCGACCTAAAATTAAAAAAAATACCAGAAATGTCAACAATCATATTTCACTTAGCATTTTCAGATGTGTGGTAGATTACAAACCATTTTCCAAGCGTAGCAATTTTCCTTCTCTAAACCATTGAATTTTCGTAAAGTGCTTTTCATGTTTGTGATGTTTCATACCAGAATGCTTGCATTCCATTCGGACAGAATGGCCTTCGTCAACTGTCACATTATAGGGATGTTGAGTAATATTATGCTGTTCTGGAATTAGAGAAAATTCCTCCGTTAAAAATTGTTAGACATACTTAGAAAAATAAAATCATTTTGTACAGTAATAATTATTTAATTAAAAATGCCATTCATTAAAGTAATATAATTAAGCTGCTCACTTATAACTTTAACGTGGATTTGCATTTCAGTAGTCCCTGCAATATTTTCGTTTACACAAGTATAAGTTCCTGAATCAGCTGGAGCAGCTTTTTCAATCACTAATATATTATTGTCTGCATGTATTTTACCGGTATTTGATATCTGCCAAATAAGCAAAAATACTTTATTATAATACTAAATCTAATTTCAAATAGGGATCTAATAAGAATTATATAATTCCATTACACTTGCCTTATGAGATTTTGGACCCTTCCACCAAACAGTTGGTTTTGGATAGCCTTGCGTTGGATTGCATGAAATTTGGAATTTTTTGCCATATGGTGCTGGCATAACATGATTTTCGTGCAACATCGGTTCAAAGTTGTGCTCGGTCAAAATACCCAAATCTAGGTGAAATAAAAATTATATTAGTGTAACAAACTCTGCAATAATAGTCAACTGATAGTACAAATATTTCTATATATTCTGGATACTTACGAACTATTTTTAATTCAGCTATATATTCTTGTTTATCTCCAAGGCATTTGTAAACGCCAGCGTCCTGATCGGTAACTGATTTTATAATCAAAGTCCCATTTGGAGAAATTGTCAAACGACTGTTTAAGTAATAAAAAATATTACAATAACAATATATCCTGTATTTATTATATATTTATTTATTTCATACCTGGTGCTATTAATTAATGGCGTTTCCTTGAAAAACCACTGAACTGTTTCGATACCTTGGTATTTGCAATTAAATCGTGCATCTTCGCCTAATCTCAGCAGTTGATCTTTTGGGATCACATCTATTACCACACCATTTTCGTCTATAAAATAGTAAAAATTGAAATTAATACTTATATACTATAATAATAAACTACATTACTCTATTATATCATAACTGATGCCTCTTATGATAATAACCAATATAAAAATAAACTAGTGGGGTGTATGGCATAGTGCCTTAAGGCAAGTTGCTGGAACTTCTCGTACAGTAACGAAATGTTTGAGGAATATTGAATGTTTTCAAATAGATTATTATAAAGATTGTAACACTGTCTAATATTTATAAGAATTGTATAAACTAAATTGCAAAGTTGAAATTATTTGTTTAAAGTATATTAGAACTATAGTCAGAATTAAAAATAAAATCTGAATTATTTTCGATATACAAACATTTTTTTTTTGGAAAAAAAAATTGAAAAACAAAGTTGAAACAAAAAATGTTTTTTAAAAAAATCAATTATTTGATTAAGACAAGCAGAAAGTTCTTCGAATCATTTAAATCGGACGCTTAGTTCTCTCAAAAACTGCCATTTTTTGCACATTTAGCTCCGTATCTTCGAAATTGCTGGGCCTGCTTTTGCTAAAAACTGATAAACCCTTCGTTTTTTAGATCATTCAAATTGGATGCTCCGTTCTCTCAAAAACCCGATTTCTATTTTCTGCATTCTTAGCTCTTTATCTCAGTAACTGCTGGACCTGCCTTCGCCAAAAACTAATCAGCATGTCTCCTTATCAATACAAATCGAATGTTTTTTGAATTATTCAAATCGCTTCATCCGTGTTCCCGAAATCGTCGACAAAAATTTGTATCCGAACACACATACACACGCACACCCACACATACATCCATTTTTTCTAAGGTATACCAAAATATTCAGAAACCTCTGAAATGTGAAGATATATAAAAAATTTCATTTTTGATTTTTTGCGAATACTATAACTTACCCTACGGGAAGTTAATAAAGAATGCAGAAAAAGAAAAATATACATAAATTATCCCAAAACATAATTATATTTTACATAAAATATGATCAGTTTCTCCTTACGCAATTTTTTTTAATAAAATGAAGCTAAGTGAATTAAATAATAAATTTAATAATTTTACTCATATATCTGCTCCCTAAATATCAAATTTAATATTAAGCAATATCATTTATGATGTAATCACATATTTTCTAAATTTTTGATGGGCCTACAAGTTATTTTTTATTTCTAGCATTAGCGAACGAATAATTATTTCAAGCTTACTACTTACAATACTGGAAAAGTTGCATACACCTGACAAACATTCAAGAAGAATGAGAATCATACCAATCGTTAAATCGGAATTCGACAATCGTTTTTTTATTTAGTGTAATGTTAATTATATTTACCTCCACGAAAAAAATAAAACTAATATACATATATTATTACCCTCGACATATGTGTTCGCTTTCGGGAACCGGTTTCTTGTTCTGGATGCACCCATATATATATATTAGTATAACGTTCGTGTAAAGAATTCAGGTTTACCTTTTACGGCCAAAATAAAATTAGTCTCGCTGGTGGTGAAGCCGGCTTCGTTGCGAGAGGAACATCGATAGACACCATTGTCTTCGGCGCTCGCGGACTTTAGATGCAGTTTGTCCTTGCGGACGTCGTAGCGCTGGGACTTCGACAAACGCTCGGTATTCCTGGGAAAAATATGAAATATTTATAAATATTATTTTTAGCTTGTTGTACTTTAAGATATTATATCTGGGGAATATTTAAATGATATTTTTGGTCATATCCTTGTTTTAAACATTTCTGATTATTATTAACTTTCCGTAGGGTAAATTATAGTAAACGCAGAAAAATCTAAAATGAAAATTTTTATATATCTTTACATTTGAAAGGTTTCTGAACATGTTGGCATACCTTAAAAAAATGATGTAGATGTGTGTGTATGTGTGTATGTATAGTATATATGTAGGAGTCAACCGATTTTAATAATTAAAAAAAACATTCGATTCATATTGATAAGAAGACGTGCTGATTAGTTTTTGGCAAAGGCAGGTGGAGCCATTTCGAAGATATGGAGCAAAAAGTGTCAAAAATGGTAATTACTTTTTTTAACAATTTGGAATTCCTAGCAATGTGCCCTAAGTCATGCACAAAAAAATGGTAAATATATCATGTATGCATGTTAGAATATGTTGTCTTATGAGGAAAATGGCAGATTTTTTATTGTTTTCGTATGCTATTATTAATATTAATTATATTTTTAATTGTTTAAAAAAAATTAATAATTGAATTCTATTAAGTTTGTTTTAACCAAGAAGTAAAATGCTAAGAATGTCCTTTGGTTATGAGATAGTGCTTATAAGGTATAAAATAAATTGTTAGTAAGACTTTATGGGTTTTAATAATTTACGAATTTAATTTTTACTATATTTGCAGTTTTAATATATAATTTAGTACAGGATTCTCGAATTACTGATAAGATTTAAAATAAAACCTCATATGGATTCACTCTAAGCGAGCATTTGAGTTCAAAATTTTTTTGATAAAATTTAAGTGGTTGTATAAGAGTTGTAACTAATTTAGAATACCAATATGCAATATATAAAATATTAAAAATATAAAAATAATAATTTTGAATCATTATCATATATTTTAGGCGCCTATATTTTAGTGACATGGTAAACTGAATATATTTCAGTAGACCAGTTCATATATATTATTTTGCAGTTTTCAATATAATTATTAATTATTTGATATATCATGTACGCATACTTTATGCATTATTCATTAAAACAAAACAAAATTCTTGTGCAAATTGTCATATATAAAATCAATATTTTAAAAGTATTTTTCTGCAAATAAATAAATAACAATAAGAATTTGAAAGTAATTCTAAGAATTTTTCACAAATCTTGCAGTAAATATGTGTGAGTACTTCTTAATACAGTATGATGTTAAAGTTTTATGTGATCTTACTGTAAATTATTACAGTATACACAGATAACTTTATGCATTCTAAAATTGGCAATTAAATTGATTAAATTTTGTTCATTCAATTTATTCTTTTGCTTCCAAAAATAGTGTTTTCAAACGATGATTAAAGTGCATTTATATCTTTATTTTATTACCTGAACCATTCATGATGAATTTCTCCAGAACCGGTAGCTTTGCATTGTAAAACAACTGAAGATCCAGCTTTTATAGCAGTCGTTGGTTCTGCTGGATAAACAGAACAGTTTCCAATCCCTGAAAAAAAAAAACATTATTAAAAAACGAAATATACTTATCAACGTTTATTGTCGATATATACATTAATAACATTTAAAACTACACGTTATGTGGCGGCTATTTGCAACATAATTCATGATTGTATAAACCGATGATTTTGCGTAAAAAGAGTGACCACGAAGTATGCATTGTTTAGATTAAAAGTTGTTATTCTAAACATTATGATAAAAAAATACCTTTGAATAAGAAATTTAAAGGCATTTCATATATTGTTGTTCATTTGGGTGGATTTATAGATATTAGATGATTAAAAATAAATGTGTCATTAAATACTTTGCAACTTATAATGATTGTTGAATAAACTACCAAGTCAATAATAATATTCATAAAATTATAAATAATTCATAAAATTATTTATATAAATATGACTATTGGAATGCTTGAATCAGATTTCTACGCATTATAAAAAAATGCAATATAATTCAATTTAATTGTCTGTGATTTTTTTTATTCTATATAATCATGACAATCAAAGTTAAATGACCTTATTGAAGGAACAATCATTGAAATAATTTAAAAATAATATTAATTATGAGTCATCATAAAAATAATGAAAATCAAAGTCCTTGTTTTGATTTTGAAAATTTTTGATAGAAACAAATATTCTATTCCAAGGATCCTTTATCAAAATAATTTCCATTCGTCCTCAGACTGGTGTATTTCATGATCCTCTGTTTGGCTTTGTGCAATCGTACATATCTCGTGAGAGTGTACTTTTATAGTTTATTCAATACTGCAGCGTTCATGGGGTGCGCTTTACTACAGCTCTAATGCAGAACTTTTAGGCAATGACTCGATGACTCCAAGTAATAAAAAGCACACCAACACAAAAACAAACAGATGTTTATGGATATCACATATATAATATTATTCCTCTTATATAATATTCCATAAAATAGAAATAAAACAGAAATATCCGGCTGCTACTTATTGTCGTAAAACAATCAGGATGTGAAGTTGGAGTAGGAAGTTGGATTAATTTAGGAGATTGGTGGAAAATTAAATATGTTAAAAAAGTGCTTAAATTGATATATAAATTTGATTTGAGTTAAATTATTATTGGTCGTAGACCTAAGCTTACTTTAAGATAAAAAAAATATATTAAAATAATTTTTTTCTCAATAATCTTTTTAATTATTAATTAACTAATTCAACTGCCTCCATATTGGAAATTTTAGCGGCCTAAGCATCAGAAATATTCTAATGTTTATACATATGACATATTTCTCTTAAGCTTAAAACAACCAGGAAAAAATATGGGAAATTGAATTAATTTTATGAATTTTGAAATATGAACTATGGACAAAATAGCTTATTTTATTTTTAGAATTCTATAAATTGGATTATTATTCATCTTAAAAAAATCTCAAGATTATTTTACTAATTAGCATTAAATCAACTGTAAATATCATATTGTAAAAGCACCTGGATTGATTATTTTAATGTGCTTTTTGGTAACAATGTAGTCCATTAATATTTTAAATAAAAGTCTTTGTAATAAATTATCGGTATTATCAAGAGGTTTTGTTAAAATCTATATATATATATATATATATATATATATATATATATATCATAATGCATCATAACAGTAGTGATAATAGTTCTATATTACAAAAGATTAATTTACTAATTGCTCAACGGAATTTGATCAGATCAAATAGTTATCCAAATACCAAAACTATATAGAAAATTAAACCATGATAAATTTAGTATTCTATAATATTGTAATGTAATTTACTCTTATTGCTTTACCCTTAATTTATTTAATTTTATTTAATTATTTTTGTTAAGGATATATGAAATAATTATTTATAATAAATAGTTGCATTATCTAACGTTCTATAAACCACCCATTTCTAAATTAATAGAATAAATGTTAAAAATTAATAAATACTAGAACAAATTCATAAGAATTTATTTGAAAAGAATTAGTTTTGTAATTTTTGTGCTTATAAATATGTGTGGGTGTGTGAGTATTTTAATAAAATTCACTGAATGTGTTCTATGCTCTTTTCATTTAATATTATTAAAGTATATCAATGCTGTCTGATATAAAAATAAACTAATCAAAATTTAAAGTGGCACTCATTATTATTGAAAAAATAAAAGATTTAGTAATAAGTACTTATTACATTAAACAGACAAGACAAAACAAAACTATTCTAGGAGAGATAAAATGTAAATTATTAAACTAAAGCTTTACAAAAATAAATAATTTGCATGCACATATGAATGTGCTTTATATTTGCATATGCTTTAATTGTGCATAATTTATTTGTTCTATGTGAATGCATTAAAACACATGTAATTTCCCTCTGAATGAGATAGTTTGTTATTTTATATGCTATTTACCAAAAATATCCTTTGAATATTATTCCAGCAAAAGCTTGTTTATAGCGCCAGAATCCTTGTATCAAATATTTGCAGAATTATCGAAAATATACATTTGTAATTGAAAGATGCACGTTTATGTTACACAGCCTTATATATAAGAGAACTAATAATAACAACAATATTATTTCATGTGCTAAAGAGAACTTATTCTCATAAAGAAAACATTAAAGTTCCAACGCAACATCGACCAATTACTCGGAGTGTTTTGAAATGAAATGCGAGTAGAAAAAGTTTCGCAGACGACGATATCTCTATTAAATGAGACAAATTAACTTAATACGTTAAGTGTTTTATCTTGGACTGAATCAAATGCACATCTTTATATTATAAATTACCTCTTGAGAATATTAATTTGTTCATCCTGCAAAGTTATGTTATCAGTGACCATTCAGAGTAATAATAATAAATAAAAAAACTGGATCCATTATATACCTATAGTATAAATTTACTTGATGTAGGAATGTCGATTGCATAGTAATCTACATTCAGAGACACTTCAGAAGCAAAATTGACATGTCTATTATATTGTCAGTAGAAAGAACGAAATGAATTTAAATGAAAAATCCAATTTACTATAAGTTCCAGAACAAAAATAAATGTTTTTTATACCTTGATCATATATCACAATTATACAATATCTATTTTTATATTTTTATCAATTATTTATATTTATACATATGAGTAGAAAAACTGTAAATCTTTTAAATATTACTAGTAAAATTAAATATACTAAAAAATTAGATGCTATAGTGAAACTAATCAAAGCGAGTCCATATCTAGTTTCATCGAATGGCTTATAAAATTTTGAATTGGGTTCAGTCGTTTTTTGGAAAACGTAGACAAAAAAATAAATATTGACTTATACATACACATGCTTTCTTCAATTTTTTTGTCAAATTGGATTTTTAAGCGAAAACACAAACTCCTCCTTCATGAAGTTAAAAAATACTTAAACAATTTCAAAAAAATAAAAATTTATCGGTAACATTAATATTGTTTATTATAGATTAAAATGTATTGCAGTATTTGATATTGCAATAAATAAATCGATAAATTTACATTTCAATCTTGAAATTCAAACAGATTGCTCTATTCGAACAAGAATCCAATTGCATAAAATTTGAAACTACCCTTAAATATCCAGTTGCATAAATTTGATATTATCTTTTGAAAATTTTGTGAACTAATTTTATACTTTAAAATTTCAAACAAGAACCCGTTTTTATTTGACTGCTTTGATTATAAAAAACTTGAAACCATAATGAAGGTACTATTCAAGTTAGAATCCAATTGTGATGTATGAGCTATTCAAATTAGAATCCGATTGTATAAAGTTGAAACTAATTCTAAAAATCAAATTTTTATACTTTTAAATACCTTTACTGAACCAATTGTATTTACAAATAAAATTCATCGTGAACAAATTTGTTTATCATAGTAAATAAGTGATCCACAACCAAACAACTGATCCATTCTAAATCGTGTCAAGTGGTGATTTATATTTTTTCCTTAATGCAATTGATTAATTATCTCACTCAAAATACACCAAACAAAAAATAAATAAAAAAAATCTTTTATGGCAAAGTTTATATCTGTTACATGTATAGATAGTAGCTTTTCCAGCTGATACTTTACCCAGGTTGTTTCAGGACTCTGATTTCTCTGATCAAAGTATTTCATTTCCCATCAAATAAACGTTCAATCTAAATCAAACGTATCTCTTAAGCTCAAAATAATTTGTGTTTAAATTAAAAATGCAATTCGACTGCTATCTGCTGCTGGAGAGATCGGAGCAGAAATGACGTGCTGCAGCCTGTCTGTCAGCAGATGGAGGCGACAGTTGAAAAAAACAAGATTAAACAAGAATCAAAGCGAACGATGAATGAGTTGGATAAACAACTGATTCCCCAGAATGTACTTTTATAGTTTACTCGATATATCCGACTCGTGGCGGTTAAGTCTTGCTTCTCTTTGAAGACTATAGTACCAGTGAAGAAACCCAGCAACAGAGCCAGCCGAGAGAAAAAGATGGAAAAGACCAAAGCCGATGCAGGCTTCCCAAACATTACTAATCAAGGAACTTCAGACAAAGATACAACTCAATTAAAACATTTAAACACTGCAAGCGGGGAATTGGAAGTTTTTCGTGTAACTTTCTGGGAGAACCTACCTAACCATCACATGGATACCTACTGTGTATCAGTAGTCAGTTTTTATACATACATGTTGCTTTTTAATATTTTACGTAAACACTTAATTAAAAGCAATTAAGCTTTCTTCTAAAATCCTTCTTATTGTTTCAGCTCCAATAATTAACAAGGATATGTTAGTATTTCACAGTATACAGTTGACTGGTAGATGGAAAATTACTCGATTATCTTTTCATCACAATATTCAATTAAGAAGTTCACTGTACTAATAAATGCCAATTTGCAATGATCATGGGATATGATATCATACTATAGACCAGAATATGGTAGTAAAGCTTATAATGAATAAAATAGAAAAATTTTATAGAAATAAATTCAAAAAGAGTATTGTATTTATTTTATTGACAACAC